TGCAAACGGCCACTCAATTGTTTTGAGACAAGGTGCTGTCTATGAACGACACAATGGACAGTCATAACTCCAGGTACAACCGATTTTAGATGAGTTTGAAATCCACGATATCGTCCAACCATGGATGCAGCTCCGTCGGTTGCACATGCCACGACGTTTGTCAAGGGGATGTTTTTCTCATTAAAAAACTCTTCAACCTTTTTAAATATTGAAGAACCTTTTGTGTTGGTGGCTAAATTTCGAACAAATAACAGTTCTTCCCTGATCTCTTCATTTCCGTTGATGAAACGGACATAAGCCAATAACAAGGCTTCATTTTCACAAATCGTTGACTCGTCAATCTGCATCACGAATTCTGTATTTTTCAAGGTGTCAATAAGCCTTTCTTCCACATCAGCAGCCATTTCATCAATTCTTTTTGATACGGTGTCATTGCTCAAAGGAATCGATTGTGTGATAGTGCTTGCGCTGGGCCCCAACATGGTGGCAACAATCTGTTTCACTGCTGGTAAAATCAGCATTTCTCCGATAGTGTGAGGTTCACCACATTTTGCTATCAACGAAGATACTCCATAGGAACAAATGAGCCCCTTGTCGGCGTTGAGTGACGATTTTCCAAATAACTTCCCAACAGTGCTGCGACCCTCAAACTTGGCCTTTAAGGATTGGAAAAATGAAAAAGTCTCAAAAGTGTCCCCCAAACTTCTCGCTCCATCGCCTCCATATCGCCCCCTTTTCGTTCCTTCACCCCCTGGGGGGCGATATCGCCCAGGTTAAGACCCACTGTGTTAGACGACAACACTGTCCTGGACCCCAAAGGTAACAAGGGTGGTGGGCGAGTGTTCTCAAGCAGCCTTGCTCCACATGCTGATCCTGGCTACTTAAGGGACTGCCTGGCTCCTCTATATGTGCCAGACATTGCTGGCACATTCCGGGTGTCCCCACTTAAACAATGCCAGCATCTGCCCAGACCTTCCCTGCAGCAGCACCAGCAATCCAGAATGGGGTTCCCCCTCCCCATACCTGCACAGCCCCCAGGTACCTGGCGTTTTGAAGGGCCTTGAAAGCCCAGTTCTTCCCCTGCGTCTTTGGCAGGGACCACGGACACCCCTTAAGTGTCCTGATTTTCCCTTCTGAGTTTCCTTTGCCATCCTTGTTGTTTTGACTTCTGCTATTTGTGTGTGTGTGGGGGGTGGTTTCCAATTGTACTTTGTTTTTAAATGCTTTGACGACTGTAAACTGTCCAGAAGCCCTGGGAGTCAGAGGGCATATAAATGGAATAAATTCTTTAGTTTATTTTACTCGGAAGTCTTGGGAATGGGTTCTGGTGTTTTGTGTGGGCGTTATTTTTAAATGACTGGGAACCGTCCACCATCCGGTTAAAGAAATCCCCAAAGGGGGAAGAAGCCCCCGGGGGCCCAGTGAGTTCTGTTCCCAGCTTAGCAACCGCGAGGCGGGCGACGCTGCCGGAGGTGGGGAAGGTCTCCCCTGCCTGGAGCGGATCCCCCCACCCCACCCCACCCCCAGGGCTTGCAGCAATCCGAGGAAGGGCGACGGCTCCCTTTCCTGCAAACGCCCCCCTTCGCCTCCTCTCCCTGCCCGGGGCGGCCTCTCCACCCCAGCCCAGCCGGGGCCCCGCACGCGCCGCCCCCGGCGAGATCGCGGCCGAGCCTTTCGAGCCGCCGGCGTCTCCTCCGCTCGGTACACATTCCTTCGAAAGTGGCTTGGGCCTCACCCGGCAGCTTGTGGCGGGGAGTTCCGCAGGCTGCACTTAAGGAGATCGTGGCTGCCGGGGTGGGGGGGAAATTCCCTAGTTGTCTTGCCTGCCCGCCCGCTCTCTCGGGAGGGTCGCCCGGGCGCTCACCTCCTCCTTCTGCTGCGGGGTCAGAACCGCCGAGCCTGGAACCTCCATCCTCGCCCTCCCGGTCGCTGCTGCCACCGCGGCGCATGCGCGCCACCTTTCGCGCCAAGCGCGAAAGAGCGCTCGGACCCGCCTCCCTGGGCGCCGCGCCCAATGGAAACCCGAGACACTGGCGCCCGATTGGAGAGCCCCGGCCATTGGCCGGGGAGGGGGAGTACGGAAGCCGGCTGGGCCCGGTGGGCGTTCCCGCGGACGGGCTGGGCCGGGCGCCGCCATGGAGCTGGGCGAGATGCTCTACAACAAGTCCGAGTACATNCCCCCTCCGCCGCCGCCGCCGGAGGTTCTGGAACAGGGAAGGGTCCGCCCCGCCCCTCCCTGCTGGGGGGGGAGGAAGGGGGGGGAGGAGGCCGCCGGCGAGTTCAAAGGGCAGAGCCCCTCCCCCACTGGGCCCTCTTCGCCCCCTCCCCCCAGACCATCGTCATGAACGACTGCATCATCCGCGGGGACCTGGCCAACGTGCGCGTCGGGCGGCACTGCGTGGTGAAGAGCCGGAGCGTCATCCGGCCCCCCTTCAAGAAGTTCAGCAAAGGGTAGGAGCCCCTCGCCGCCCGCCCCCCCCGGCAAAGGCCGGGCTGAAGGGGAACGTTTGCTTCGCTCCAGACTCCGCAGGGGCCCTCAACCGTGGCCACGTTAAGACTTGTGGACTTCAACTCCCAGAATTCCTCAGCCAGCAAAGCTGGCTGAGGAATTCTGGGAGTTGAAGTCCACAAGTCTTAACGTGGCCAAGGTTGAGGGCCCCTGCTCCAGAGTGTTGCTTTAACTTCAACGGGGAATGGGCTGCTCCCATCCCCAGGAGCGCTGAGGGCAGGTGGCCCAGGCTGTCACGGTGTGAGGACCCGCCTCAGCTAAGCCTCCCCAGGAAGCAGAACTGCTGAGACGGGCATTCTCTCAGAAGGAACTTTTAGGGGGGGGGGGTGACAGCAGGGATAGCAAGGCAAGATCTGGGGAAAGCCCTGTGCAAATAGCATACTAAAAGCAATCTTTACTACTCTTCCCCCCCCCCCAGAGTCCCAGTGTCCGTTTGAAGTCCAGCCAGTCCACAGGCAGCACAGCGGCTCTTCAGGGTCTCTCCCGCTTCCGTTTCCTTCTGGCTCTAAGCACCAGCCCTCACCCAGATAAGGGAGATGCATTCCTTCTCCTGGGCGAGGGGCACAGCAGCAAGACAGTGTAAAGCAGGCATGTCAAACCCCTGACGTCGCGTGGCATATCGCGACTTTTTCCCCATTGCCGGCAATGGGGTGGGCACAGTTTCAGCGTGACACATCCGGCCCAGGGACCGTCAGTTTGACATGCCTGGTGTAAGGCATCCCAGAGCATTCCCCCCCCCCTCCCAACAGAATGGCAGGCCCCAAAGAATGGTTACCAAGCCAGGCAAAGCATAGGAAGAGAAAAGAACACATTTCTTTGGGGATCCTGACACATAGAACAGATCCCACTTGATCAAAAGTGTGCACGAAAGAGACCGAAAACAAGATTTATCGGCAACATCAGCAAATATCGTGGGCCCAGTTGGCAAAAGAAAGCTCAGGGCCGTATTGGTTGGAAACCTGCGCAAGAGGCCTCCACCCTGCAGTGGATGGACAATGGCTAAGAAGTGTATGTATATATATGTGTGTGTATACATATATACATGCATATACACATGCATGCATATACATACACATGTATATATGCTGTATATATTTAACACATAAAAGTTATATATGAATATAACTTTTATTGGCCTCCCATCTTACGCTAGGGCAGTGTTTCTCAACCTTGGCAACTTTAAAATGTGTGGACTTCAACTCCCAGAATTCCCCAACTGGCTGTACCGCCCATCTGTTTTTGCTCTTGGCTGCCACTGAGGAGGGCGGGGTGGGTGAGCGGAAAGGAATCCTCAAGACCTCTGCTGGTTGTTGGCCTCAGTCAGCGGGCTGGGGGGGCCCTTGCGATTCTTGCATTCTGTCCCCTCACCAGAGCGACAGAACCTGCAGCCAGGCGCTCGCCATGTTGCCTGATTTTGTTCAGCCTGAGCAAGGAAGGAATGCTGGTGATGAAGCTCCATTCTTCTTTTCTGCAGGGTTGCCTTCTTTCCTCTGCACATTGGGGATCATGTCTTCATTGAGGAGGATTGTGTTGTCAACGCGGCTCAGATTGGCTCTTATGTCCACATAGGCAAGAACTGCGTCATTGTAAGTGCGCGTACCTGCTTGGCTTCAGATAGAGAGGGACTTTGGCTCAAATCTACCTTCACCTGTAGCTCTAGGAGCTTGGATGTGGACCCTAAGTGGGCCTCATAAGAAAGAGTCAAACACATTCATTGATCTGCTGTTTGGTGGTCTCAAATTCTTTTGAGAAGCTTTCTTGGTCTGCTTGTTCCTTTTATGCATGAAGGTGACAAGTCCCAGCTGGGAGGGCTGCCCATTAAATAGCTAGAAGGTTTTGCAACAGGAAAAAGCAGCCACCATAAACAATAATGTTCCCTGGCTCTGTGGACTGTAGGAACGAGCGAGATGAACCACTCCAGATCAATCTCCGAGAAGGCGCTTTACGTGACAGCTAAGTTGCAGCAGTGTTTTTACCATGGTGCCATTTTCCCATCCAACATGACTGAAAGTTATCGGGATAGGACAGGAGTCTCCGGTTGAGGAATTCTGGGAGTTGAAGTCCATGTGTCTTAAAGTTACAAGTTTGGAGACCCCTGAGTTAGGACATCTTTCTTTTTGGGCTTAAAGCCTGTTGGGGTCTCTAGGGAGTCTGAGCAAAATGCCACCCGTAAGTGAAGGTGAGGAACCAGTACTTCTTACCCTGCAAATGACTGCTTGCTTATCCATTTCAGATTAAAAATCCACTTTCAAGTTATTTGGGGGGGGGGGGGAGAAAAAGGTTATCACCAGACAGCCTTCCTGATCAGAACAATGTTTTCATGGCCAAACCAAACAACACATTTTTGTTGAGAATTAATTCTGAACAGCACGAAGCATGTTCAAGGGAGGGGAGGGCCATATTTGATGCCCTTAGCTAAGCAAGCTGGTTCCTCTATGGGGGCAGCAATTGCAACACTTGTTTAACCTGCTTTGCTGCCCAACACAAGCTCATGTGTGACTGGGTATCCTGGCTTCACCTCTCAGGTTTAAAAGCACAACAAAGTCAGGGACTGTTTTGTAGAGCCTGAAGGTTGCAGACTCTTTGGAGACTTTTAAGAGGCTCTGTTGGATGGCTTTGAGCAGGGGTCCCCAACCCTTGGTACGTGGACTGGCACTGGTCTACAGCATGCCAGAAACCGGGCTACACAAGCAAGCGAAGCCCCATCTGCGGGATGCAGGCAGCGTGTGAAACCACAGCCCCTCCAGTCCGAGGAAAAACCTCTCTCCGTGGAACCAGTCCCTGGTGCCCAAAAGATTGGGGCCCCTGGCCTAGAGCTTCTTCCAAGCTCACTTCTACTTTGCTTCTCCCCATTTCTTGTGGATCAGCCCCGACGCTTGCACCATTGTGGGGTTATGGCAGCAACCCCTGAAGCAGGATGATGTGGGTGACTCCTGGTCTTCAGGCAATCTTGGCTACCCTTCAGGTAGTTCAGATTCCTGGCACGTAGATGACATTACAGAGACCATCTAAAGCCCCATTTCTCCAGCTTAGCAACTTTAAGATATGTGAATATCTTATTTCCTAGCCAGCATGGGATTTCTGGGAATTGAAATCTGCTTATCTTGCTAAGCTTGAGGGATCCTTAGGAACCCAAGGCTGGCTCCATCCCTTTGCCGAAGAGGCTCCAGCAGATGACATCTTCATTTCTGGGTGTCCTTTTAGGGTCGCAGGTGTGTCCTGAAAGACTGCTGCAGAATCCTTGACAACACAGTGTTGCCCCCGGAAACAGTGGTCCCACCTTTCACCGTCTTCTCCGGCTGCCCAGGTAAGCTGGAAGGGGCAGGGTGCTGGGGGGGAGGGGCAGGAGGGGCAGCGAGTTGCTCATGTGCCTTTCCTCTCCAGGGCTCTTCTCGGGGGAGCTGCCCGAGTGCACGCAGGAGCTGATGATGGATGTCACCAAGAGCTACTACCAGAAATTCCTGCCCCTCACCCAGATTTGAGAAACTCCTCCTCTCGGGGTAGGGGGGGTTCAGGACTGGCATGGCCAATGGGCGCCTGCAGGCAGCTGGCTCCAGAGCTGACCAGCTTCCCAATCAGGCCACCTTCCTTGTTGGTGACGTCCTCCCTCCTGGATTGACCAGGCCCTCGCCAGAAGTTCTTCTGGTTTCCTCTGGATGGTTGGACGAGGCTGGCCTGGACCTGGCTCCCTGCAATGTACTCCGTGATGGTTTAACTCTAAATCCACTTTGTTCTGTTGAGCAGCAGAGTGAAGCACTCAGTGCTTTGTGGGGTGGGGGGGTGGAGTTCATCTAGGATGCTGCCGCTCTTGTTCTCGCTGGTCCTTCCCACTTGATCACAATCCTCCCTTGAGGGGGTCCTGACTCCCCTTCTTGCTGTCGTTCATTTTTTCTTAGCCCCTCAGAGCTTTCTGGGGATGCTGTCAAACCCTCTCTTCGGCCGCCCGTTGTGGAAGCGGCTACAGCCCAAATCCAGAGCTCTGTGGGCTGTTAAGCAAAGTGGATCTTTCCTTCTCTGATTCTTTGTGGCTTCCAGGGATGACCTGAGCTGGCAGGGCTGGGATTGGGCCCCTTTCCAAGGGACATCAGTTGCGCCCTCCAACCGATGGTCACTTTGGAGAAAGTGGGCAAGAGGAAAGGACCGCATGGGGGACTTGGGGGGGTGGGGAGATTAGCTACTTCGGGAGAGGGCAGAAGCTGCTGCTAGGCCAGGGGTAGGCTACCTTGGCTCTTTCATGACTTCTATGCTGGCTCAGAAATTCTGGGAGTTGAAGTCCACGAGTCATAAAAGAGCCAAGGTTGCCTATCCTTGTGCTAGGCAAATGGGGGGGTGCAAACGGTCTCTGGGGAGGTGCAGCCCCTCCCTTGCCCTGCCCTCTCTGAGCTCTTCCCAGTGCTCTGCTTCATCCCCCCCCCTTCCCCCATAGGCAAAGCAGCCTGGTTTGGCTGTCTTTGTTCCTTGCCTTCTTGTGCTGCCACTTCCTGCATGTTCAACTTCAGCTTAAGTTGTTCCAGGTCCTGTGTGTGTGCGCACTCGCACCCTTGTTTGTGTTTCTGCGTTCTTGGCCTGTGAACCTCCATTGTGTATTAAAAGTTTTGCTATGGGGGATTTATTTTGTTCCTCTAAACAGCCCACCGGAACCAGTGACTCTGGGTGGCATGCATCATAAAGCATAAAAACAAATGGAAAACCATACAAAATAAATGTATGTGGTTGCCAAATAGAGCTATTGCCATGGATGTTAATATAGCCAAGGGGCCCTTAACACACCTGGGGGCCCGGGCACAGAACCAAATCCTCGCAGACTTCTGAAAGGGCTGGGCTCATTCTGATCTCTGAAGGGAGAATGTTCCAGAGGGCTTTGGCAGTTTCCTGGTCCCCACCAGCCAACATTCCTTGGGCGACGGCCCACAGCATCCCCATCCTGACAGACTGGATTGGAGTGGTGGAAAAAACAGAGAAGATGTTCCCTCAGGTAACCTGGCCCCAAGCCATGAATGCCTTTAAAGGTGTGGGATCCTTGGTGCTCTCTGAGCTTGGTTGTCTTTTTGGAGACGTTTCATTACCAACACAGGTAATATCATCAGTGCTTGTTTGGTAATAAAACATCTGCAGCTGCCATGCGACCACCTTCACAACTTCCCTCCAAAAGGAGATTTTGGAGTGGATGAAAGCAGTCCAGACTTGTTGGGCCGAGTGATGGCCCCTTCAGAAGAGACACATCAGTGCCTCCTTCAGAACGATGGAATCACCCCCTCCCTCTAGGAATTATTAGTCATAACCCAGACCTGATCATGCACCCCCTCCTGGGCAACCTTACGCAGCCAGGAGGGACATGTATCTAACGGGTAGTCGAAGTAGCAGTTGCAAGAGCCCTGTCCACTTCCTCAGGGTTCCTCAAGATCACTTTGGTAGACAGGGATCTAGTGTCAGACCCAAACTCCAATAACACAGTGTGATCCAGTTTAGATCTTTATTTGCTTTTATACCTGAAGGACAGACTCTTGCCAAGCTAAAGGTCTAATCTTCTAGTCCAGGGTCTCCAAACTTGGCAACTTTAAGACTTGTGGATGATGCATGGCTGGCTGAGGAGTTCTGAGTTGAAGTCCACGAGTTTTAAAGTTGCCAAGTTTGGAAAGAACTCTTCTAACCTAACAGACAAATCCCAAGAGATTCTAGGGTATGACTGCCTGAAACCTTTTCCTCCCCTCACCATCTGGTTCAGGACTCTTGTCCTTGGCCCTCTCTGGACTCTGCTGCCTCCTCCTTGGGCAGTGCTGTGCTACTGCGCACATTCCTTCCTCCCCCTTCTTCAGCTGCACATGCTGCCACATCTACTTCAATGAGTGTGTGATCTGGAAGAAGCACTTTGGACCTTGTGCTGCTCTTCTGTAGCTGTCTGGAGCCCTTGTGGGCGATCCCAGTCCCTTCCTGGTCTGGAGAGGAATTGCGAAGAGTCGGTCCATTCATGGGCTCCTCATTTTGCTCCGGTCATCGGCTCTGCTCTCAGCACAGCCGTCTTCAGTTCTCCTTAGTTGCCTGGAAGTCTTCTCAACTAACCTGGAGGATGTCACGGGGCAGCATCTCCCTGTGACCGTTTGAAGTTACAACAGCACTGAAAAAGTGATGTATGACCCAGAGTCCTGTGATTCACACTTGGACGCTTGGCAACTGGTTCATATTTATGACAAATTCTCATTAAGCAACATAAATTCTAGGCACAATTGTGGTCATAAGTTGAGGACTACCTATACAGGAGTCAGGAAACAGCCGAATAAGTATTGTTACTTACCTGTTGTCCTACCTACCCTTTTTACAATACAGGCCCATGCACAAACACATTTAAGTTTTGAAGGTTGAAAAGGAGTTCGTGCTGGATCTAAAACGGGTTGAAAGATGACTTAGCACCCCAAGGGGGAAGATGCTTCAGCCGTTCCCAGTGGGCAAATGCCAGAGAACTTCCTACTGTTAGAGGAGATTCTTAATGCACTTCCTAAACCATGTAATTGTTTTCAACCAGGGAGGGGAGTAAATATAGGAATCCTTCCTTTTTTAAAAAAAAGTTTTCTCTTTTGGGAGACAGGAGAGAAGGCATCTAGGCTGCCAAAATAATTAGTCCAATTTTTATTCCTGAGCAGGAATAAATTGGAAGGTTGGGGAGAATTTGCAGCCTTTGGATCCCAACCTCTCCTCTGGTGAGCTCACCTTTCTTTTTGCAGCCTTCCAGCATCAGAAAGAGGCAGTTAGACTGGAGAAGAAACAATAAGGAAATTGTATCCCAAAGGTGCTTTTTCAAAAGGCAACTGGACTTTGTTTTTTCCTTGAAGAAGTTTTGCTTCTCATCTAAGAAGCTTCTTCAAAAATAACCCCCCCCAAAAAAACAACGAAGTCCAGTTGCCTTTTGAAAAAGCATTTTTGAGGCAACCATGACCTGGATGATTGAGAATCTCCAGAGACACTCGGCTTCATGACTTCACTTAATAACTGTCTATGGAGATTCCCAATCATCCAGGTCATGGTTGTCCCAAAGGTGCTTTTCAAAAGGCAACTGGACTTTCTTTTTTCCTTGAAAATGTTTTACTTTCCACCCAAGAAGCTTCTTCAGTTCTGGATGAGAAGCAAAACGTTTTCAAGGAAAAAAGTAAAGTCCAGTTGCCTCTTGAAAAGCATCTTTGGGTCATTAAGTCGAGGACTACCTGTAGCTTTGATGTATTGGAGAGGTTTAGTTGGTTTGTGTACTATCCTGATGCTGTGTGGTTGTAGTAGTGTGGATTGTTGCAGATAGGTTTTTCATTTAACATGAAAACGCACATACTGGACCCATAATTTGGTTGTTCATGTGGAGACTGCTATAGTTTCTAGAGGCTGCATTACGGTCTCCACCATGAGTCTTGAGAGTAGGCATCCCATGGATGCTCCTCTAACTTCTTCTATTGCAATTCTTTGGGTTTTTGTATGGATTGTGTTCTGTCTATGATACCTGTGGTTTGGCCTTTGTTTTGGGGTGGGGTGGGGATATTTGGGCTCTAATTTAGGTTAATTTTAATTAATTTTTAATTAATTAAAATTGACTTTGGGGTGAACAACAGTGGTGGAGCTTTTGGAACATAAAGGAGCTCACTGGTTGATGAGATATACCAGTGGTGGCGAACCTATGGCACGGGTGCCAGAAGCGGCACTCAGAGCCCTCTCTGTGGGCGCGCGTGCTGTCGCCCCAGTCCTAGGCCTTTAGCTGGGTTTTATAAAACCTTTTCGCTTTAGGCCTCCGCCACCGTGTGCAAAAAAAAAAGGTCCAATCAATCAGTCAATTTCAACTTCTCGCGGGGAAAAAAAAAGATCTTGCAAAGTTGGAATTGATTGAACTTTTTAGTCCCACCCAGTCTGCTGTTACCACCGCAGCCACGCCCAGCCAATGGGCCACACCCACCCGGCACCTGGCGATGCATAAGTGGGTTTTGGGTTGCAGTTTGGGCACTCGGTCTCTAAAAGGTTCGCCATCGCTGAGATATACTGTAGAACAGAGGTCACCAACCTTTCTTGGCAGACTGGAGGGAAAGGGAGGGGTAACGCGCATGAACGTACGCAACACAAACAGACCCACATGATACTAGCCCTACTTCGTTCTTGCATGGCGTGGTGCCCTGTTTTCGCGGCCCCAGGCACAATGTCCTGTTTTCACACCCTGTGGCGCAGCGTCCTGTTTTTGCGCTCCACTGCGCTAGTGCGAGTGGGGGGGGTGTGCATGCACACATGTGCGCACTGGCCAGCCTGTCCCACGGCCTGATGGCCAGTAGGCCATGGCCCGGTAGTGGGCCGTGGCCCACAGGTTGGGGAGCCCTGCTGTAGAACATAGAATAATAGAGCCCCCCTCCCAGTTTCTCACGTGGCCCCAGCTTGGTTTAAAAAGACAGAGAGAGACCTTCACGGAGCAGTCCATTGTCTTTTAATATGACCTTGTCAAGCTAATTCACCGGTATAAAAGAAAATACTTTCTCTGCAAATTTAGCACAAAGCACCCTCGCTTCTTACATTCTCCCTACTCAGAAACCCTTTTCAAGCTGTTGGGTAAACTGCGTTGCTGGGTAGAATTTCAGACATGAATAAATAGGAAACTGGCCGCAGAGGCCCAAACATACATTCAATGTTTTTTTTGGCGGGGGGCGGCGGGCGATGTGGCTTCGTGGATGTTGTCGAAGGGTGTCCGTGCGGTGAATTTGCTGCTATTCTTGCAGCTCTTGTTGCAGCCAAACACGAGAGGCCTCTCCTCACCATCCTCCTCACCTCCTGGTTCCTGCTCCTGCCTTGACTTGTCCCACCCTCTGCAATTTCCCAACATTCTAAAAAACCCACCAGAACTTTTAACGACCAACACAAGTGTAAAGCCCCCTTCCTCGGGCTCAAGCTGTCCCTCCTCCATTTACTGGCCTGCTTTTTCGGCTCTGCTCTTTAAAGGACGCCAACCTCAAACCAGACGTTGTTTAAAGAAGTCAGTGTCCCATTTCCTTCAGCTTTGGGCTGGCACTGGTCAATGGCTGCCCCACGGTGCCCACTCCCCGGTTTTAGATGCTTCATTTCCAGCTGGCAAGAAGGGAAGGAGGGATGCCAGCTGGACCTCGGGAGGAGGATGGCCGGCAGTTGGCCCTGAACGGTTTCCCTACTGGACAATGGCTAAGACTGAGAACTTTGGCCCAAGAAGTCATCTAAGCAAAACACATTCTGATTCTTTCCCTCCCCCCCCCCCAACTTCTTCACTATCTCTTTACCAACCAACCATCTTTCCTGTTTCCATCAAAGAAGGTAAGAAATTTCCATTCTACTAGTCTGGAATAGGATAAAATATGACATTTGACAATAGCACCCTCATAAATAATGATATTCAAAACAAGTACAGGGTCAGAAACGGTGGTTACAGCAGCTATTAAAAAGAAATAGCATCTCCTTCCAACTCCTGGGTACCGAAGGCAGCCTAAGCTGTGAGGTTTGGGGAAAGCGGTTGGGGGGGGGGGCGCTGGGACGGGGGGGTTCCTGTTGCGCGAGCATTGAGCATTGTCTCACAGGGATTGCAGTGGATGCCCTGCCAGGAAGTCCTGCCTCCTGCCCAAACATCTCCAAATTTCCTCTGGCAAGCCCCGCACATTGCTTTGCCCCCTCCCCCCAGCAACGTTTAAGCAAGGCTTTCGATGCCACTTTTTTTTTTTTTAAATAACTACCATCTACATGTGTGAGCATAATACCACTGCTATAAAAACAGCCAACATACAAAAATATACATTTTTTCCTCCTGTAAAAATCCCATATAAATTACTTATAATACACATAACATTAAACTGGCCACTGGAATATGATGGGATTTGTCACGAGAAAGGAAAAAGACGGGTGCCTGCACGGACCGGCCGTAGCATTCCATGGAAGGGATTCCCCGAATGAAAGCAAAGGGGTCGGGTGGAGGTGGCTACCTGGGGTCATCTCCGGCCTCCCCCCCTCTCGCAATCCTGGTCCTTGTGGGACTCGGAAGAGAGCAGGGTGGCCAGGCACATTCAGGGCCCGGCCTGCAATGGTCACCTGGCCATCACAGTGGCTGAGCTCTGATTTGGGAGCTAGAATAGACAGACAATGAGTTGGTGGGTTCGTTCTCCGCCACTCTTCATCCGCAAGCAACAGTTTGTGTGCACCAGGAACACAAACACATCGCTTAGACCAGGGGCAGGGAACGAGGGCCCTTTTAGGACTACTGGTGGACTTCAACTCCAGCCATGCTGGTTCAGGAATTCTGGGAGTTGGAAATCCACCAGTCCTAAAGGGGCCCTCGTTCCCCACCTCTGACTTAGATGGTCATCCTCTTCCATTCAAATTGGAGCCATTCCAGTATTTCCAGGCTGCCACCTCACTCGGGGTCTGGGGGTCACTCCCAAGACATGGGAACAAGTGGCCCATCTATGGTCATAGTCCAGTGGCCTGTTTCAAATTATGATCTACAAGAAACAAAAAAATACTGCTTCCATGATATATTATCCTGCTCTTTAAAAGTTGCATGTGTCATTGGTAGCTAAGGCAAGCATAGATTAAAGTGCTGGCAGTAAATACAACTAGTAAACCATATGAATGAATGAATATATAAATATATTCATATATTCATTCATGCATACTCAAACATACATTCACACAAACAAACCCTATAAAAATAAACCATCATGTTCCTCAACAATACAATTACGCAATCAACGTAATACACACAACCCCACCTTAATGGAGAACGGCCGCGGGAACGAAACCTGGTGAAACCGGCTCCCAGGTCCTCTCCACGCAGCAAGCCCCCACTCCACCCCCCCCTTTCAAACCTGCTTAGTTTTTAGACCCATTAAATGGTTTTTGCCATCTTCAAGACTGGCAGAGGAGAGGCTTCAACTGCACACTGGTCAAAAAAATTTTTTTGAAATCTCAGTCTGACACTCTCCTTGGATTGATATATATATATATGTAGTGTATATTCCATTCTGCTGGATTTGTCCTTTCCGCCCCACATTCTGTTTGCAAAGTCCAGTTTCTCCACACAATCTGCCAATGTCTCCAACTCCACTCAGGGATAACAGTCCTTCCACTCCAGGCTCAGCCTGGCCATTGCTCCACCAGGGTTTTTCATCTCTTCCCTTGAGCAGACTTACAAAAAGAGAACAGGTTCCATTAAAAACACACATGCTCTCTCTCTCTCTCTCTCTCACACACACACACACGCACAAACCTGGTTTTGTTTGCTGTAAAGCTTCTGTGAAAAATAACACTTTTGTTTTGTTCTTGCCCTCCGAGAGTCCTTGCTTCTCCCTGAAGGGGGTTCACACCACAAATGACTTGGCCTTTCCTGGCTCCCCCCCCCCCCCATGCATGGAAACCAGGTGAGAGCTGTTCGGCCTCTGCAGAAGCCAAGAGTCAGGAAGGGCTGTGTGTCACCTGGCAGCATCGTGGGCGGCTGTGGCTCTGAGTGCCGGTTGGTGCCCCTGCGGCTTCCAGAGCCGACCTGCAGCCCCCACCAGAAGGGACCAGGGAGACGGCGCCTGAGGCCGGAGTAGAAGCATCTCCCTTTGCTTTACTTGCCGGTGGGGTGGACTCGGTTGTTGGCCCATAGAGGCTTCTTCCTTTTGGCTGCTGCTACCGGCGTCTTCTGCGGTGTCAGCTGAGCGCCTGGGCCGCTGTGGATGACCCGGAAGGCCGCAGGGCTGCTCAGGGGCCGGGAGGGCAGGACAGGCTGGCTGCTGGGGCCCGGCTCGGAAGACAGGCAGGCGGGGGCAGTGCGGATGGGGTGGGAAAGGTTGGCTGGCCGCTCGGCCCTCAGCCTGCCCCTCCGCCAGGCCTGCCGGTTCCGGCTGCTCTCCAGCTGGCACTCCAAGCCGTACACCTCCTCGGCCGCCCCGTTCACCCGGTCGAAGTGGGCGAGCAGCGTCTGCAAGAGGGAGAGGAGCTGCTGGATCTCCACATCGAGTTCCACACTCTCGCCGGTGCTGGTGGTGAGGCTGAGTCCGTCCAGCTGGCTGGAGGAAGTGGAGGCCCGGGAGCTCTCGGAGGCGGCGCTGGGGGTGGCTCCTTGCAATGACCGGGAGTCCTGGCTGGAGGAGCGGGAGGGCAGCGGCTCCATCCCTTCGAAGCGGACCTTGTGGCGGAACTGCGGGAAGAGAAGCATCTCAAGCAGTGGGACCTGGGCCAGCCTCCCCGAGGGCCCTGGAGACCGAACGGGACTCCTAGGGACCCTCCGTCTGCTTTGCCCCAACAGCAAAACTACGCGAGCCACAATGGTGCTGGCACCGGAGGAGAACTGCAGCCCCACACAGGGAAGCCGAAGCAGGTGCTTAAAAGTCAAGCTTAGAAAAATCCCCCGCCTCCCACTTATCTACTCGCTCTTCTTTTGCCCCTTTTGGAGTCTCTGCCTTCAGCTGCCAGCCCTGCAGCCTCCACTGGGCATCTGCCTTCAGTCTGACCCTGGGCAGGAAGGGAGCAGACCGGAAACCATGAGGTCAAGGCTGAGGTCAAGGCTGCCCTGGGCAGGCCGGCCCCTCCTCGGCCCCTCCTCAAAGGCAAGATGCGCCTGCCCAGGCATGGGGCCTCCACTGGAGGGCAAAACTGAGTGGGGAAGGGTCCTCTTTTCTTTCCCATGGAGAGGAGGCAGGGAGGGGAGCAAGGCTCTGGAAGGGAGGACCCTGCCTGATGGACCAGGGTTGAAGTGCCTTTCATTTGTTTACCAAAACATAGTTTAAAATGCCTTCTGGTCCCAAGGCAGATTTTACAGCTATGTATAAACCCATCCGTGCCATTGAATTTAAATCAAAACCAATAAAACAAAATCTTAAGTCACTCCAAAACTGCATAAAAATAAGTCCACTTAGCAACAAAAAAATATTTTTGGCAGCCTTAAATGCCTCAGCTGCTTCCTAAAATCCTCCTGATCTTAGTGCAAGGTCACAGGGGGGGTCAAATTCAACAATTTGAGCCCTGTCACTGAGGGAAAGCCCAGTCAGGTGGGGAGATCCAGGGTGATGGAAAAAGTCAAGATGGCCACCGTGAGGGCTTGATGGAAGCCCTGTCCCTTTGGCGTGCCTCGCACATGCCAGATCCATAAAAAGGGTGGGGGCTTCACTAGTTTGGTTGGACCACCCTGTGATCACAGCCTCCTGTCCCTGCAGGTGCAGGACCCCAGGTGCCATCCTGGATGCCACATCAGTCGACAGTCGCCTTGCTAAAAGCAGCAACGAGGGAACCACACCTCCGCAGCTAGGAAAGGCCTCTGTCATGCCACTCGCGCAATTTGGGCCGGCGCTGAACTGCTGTCGCCCCAGAGACGGGGCTCCTCCTTGGAGAAAGCAGCCCAAAGACCCGAGTCTCGTCTGAGGGGAGGAACCCCTTTCCCTCCTGAGCTGGGTTTGGCCTGCCAGACTAGCCAGGCCTGGCCACTCCCTCACCTCCTTGGCTTTGCTGAAGCCCATCCACATCTTGAGCCTCCGAAGGAAAAGCTCCACCATTTCGTAGTCCTGGGACTCGAAGGCCGGCCTGTACATCTCGAAGCGCGTCTCGCGGTAACGATGGATGAGCACGGCGGGGAAGAGCCGCGAAAGGCACCACAGCTGCAACATCACGTAGCTGGCCCAGATGAGGTGGGGAAGCCCCGCGGGTCCCGGCAGGTGGAGGCTCCTGCCCCCATGTAGACCGGTGAGGAACAGCTGGAGCCCCCGGCCAAAGCTGGAGAAGCCCTCGGAGGTGGAGGAGAAGAGCTGTGCAGGCACAGAGGGAGGCCGGGTGAGCGGCTGGGCAGGAGGGTCCCTCCGGGAAGGCAGCCTGGAGCTCAGGAGTCTCCTTCCCTGCGTTGCTGACACCCAGATGGCCTCACTGGGGCTGGTTTGCTGATTCCCAGCCTCCTCACCGCCCAGGACATCCCCGGGCCTGGAACCCTGTTTTTTCAACTCAGAACGGACAGAGAAGTCCAGCACTTGCGGCTGGTGTTCACCCCTCCCCCCTCCCTCCCTCCCCCCACCTGACCCCAATATTCCAAGTATGTCTGTATTTGTTCAATGGTTAGGAAAACCTCCTGAGAAGAAGAGAGCAGGGACGGATGATTGAAAAAGAGGCAGACAAACGTCCTAGATGTGTGGCTCCACTGCTTCACAATGATACACCATAGAGTTGAGCCCAAGGCACCTCCACAAAGAAGGTGCACACCTTCTCAGGAGCCAAGGGGAGACAAGAAGTGGCGCTTATCAGAACACTTCTCTGGTTTCAGGTGAGAACAAAATGCTGAAACTGAGTCCAGGAGCCTGGGGGAGGGATCACCACCCGCCCTGGAAACACAGTCCCAACCGATGCCGAGGTTTCTGCCTGCAGAATGGGGCTGATACTAGTCAAGGAGGAAAACCACCTCTCTTTTGGTAAAGCGAGGCTGAAGAAACCATGTTTAGAAAAGTGACTGTGCTGATCCCCTCCGGTTGGTCAGAGGACAAGGCATTTTGCTAAGGGTGGTTAAAAAAAAATGTGGCTGGAAAGACTGGCATGGGTCGAGGACCAAACCAGGGGAAGGGGCTCCCCACAGGGCAGGTTAGAGGAAGGGGGCCAGTTCTCCTCTCCCTCCAGGTGCAGAGCAGAGGCATCTGACGCTTTGGTGGGACAATGTCCCCTTAGTCCACCCCTCCCTTACCAGGTAGCCAAGCTGTGTGTAAGCCAACGTCAGGATCACAAAGGCCAAACCGGTGCCCAGCAGCTCCCTGGCCGATTTCTGCAAAGCTTTGCCGAAGGTCGACCACTGTCGGATGAAGCGCAGCTGCTGGGAAGCCTTTGGGAAGGAGAGAGAGGGAGGTTGGCTCAGCAAGGCCTGGCTTGGCCTAAGTGGGGATCAGTTGGGGCAACCTCTGCTGTCTAAGGCCAGGGCCAGAAGCCCTTCTCGGTATAGGAGAGGGATTGGAGAGTCCTGCTCCAGTGTCGCTTCTGCCTCAATCGATCAAGGCTGCCCCTAATCCACACCCTCAATCGTTTTAGCTGCAGACAGAGTGGTTTAACATAGAATAGCATAGACTAGTAGAGCTGGAAGGGACCTTGGAGGTCTTCTCGTCCAGCCCCCGCTTAAGCAGGAGAACCTATACCATCTCAGACAAGTGACTGTCTAGCCTCTTCTTAAAAATCTCCAGTGATGGAGCACCCACAATTTCTGAAGGCAAGCTGTTCCACTGGTTAATTGTCCTCACTGTTAGGAAGTTTCTCCTTAATTCCAGGTTGCTTCTCTCTTTGATCAGTTTCCAACCATTGTTTCTCGTCCTGCCCTCTGGTGCTTTGGTGAATAACGTGACCCCCCTCTGCCTTGATGCAGCCCCTCAAATACTGTAATACTGCTATCATGTCTCCCCTGTTTCTTCTTTTCTTTAGACTAGCCAAACCCAAGTCCTGCAGCCGTTCTTCGTATGTTTTAGTCTCCAGGCCTTGGATCATCTTAGTTGCTCTTCTCTGCCCTCCCTTCCAGAGTCTCAGTGAGATTGTTTGCTTATTGTTTTTGTGCCATCCTTTTAAACTACATTTTATAACTAGCGGTGGAAAACTCTTATACAAATACAGGAGCATCTGCAAGATGGGTCAAAATCTGCAGTGTATATCACAATCCTTTTGTATGTACACATCTAAACACACAGAGAGTCCTCAACTTCCGGTTCATTTAGTGATGGTTCGAAGTTGCAACGGCACTGAAAAAAGTGACTTATGACCATTTTTCACACTTATGACCATTGCAGCCTCCCCAGGGTCACATGATTTACATTCGGATGCTTAGCAACTGACTCGTATTTATGACGGTCGCCATGTCCCGGGGTCACGTGATCCCCTTATGCGACCTTCTGACAAGCAAAGTCAATGGGGAAGCCAGGTCCACTTAACAACTGCAGTGAGTCACTTAACATCGATGGCAAGAAAGGTCGTAAAATGGAGCAAAATTCACTTAACAAATTTCTTACCTAGAACATACACTTTGGGCTCAATTGTGGTTGTAAGTTGAGGACTACCTGTATGCAAAAGGGGCGGGGCTTGGATTGCAATGCCCTACCCACACTTTTGTAGATTCTGACCATTTCTTTGACCTTCCCCCTTGCAGAGTTCCCTGCACACATAGATATGCAAGGATATTTCCTTCCCGTTGCTGATTAGAACATGGAATAACAATGTCGGAAGGGACCTTGGAGATTAGCAGGAGCTCCGCTGCATAATCTGATGCTCTATTCTGGAAAGACAGAGCGTTGGGGAACTTAAAAAATGCTGCCAAATGGCCAGTGAGGAGGAGAAAGAAAATGTGCAGGAAAGTCTGATGCTGCTGCCGACTGCTTCTCTCCCATGGACAGCATGGAGACTGGAAAGAGGGCAGAGAAGTGCAACAAGGATGATTGGGGGACTGGAGGCTAAAACATACGAAGAACGGTTGCAGGAACTGGGCACGGCTGGTCTAGTGAAAAGAAGGACCAGGGGGGACATGATAGCAGTCTTCCAGTATTTGAGGGGCTGCCACAAAGAAGAGGGAAGTCAACCTATTTTCCAAAGCACCAGAAGGCAAAACAGGAAACAATGGATGGAAACTGATCAAGGAGAGAAGCAACCTGGAACACTAAGGAG